TGAACGCCCACCCAGCTGCCAAAGTCCAGCTTCCAGACTTGGAGCCCACGAGCCTGAGACATGGGCCCCACTGACCTTACTGTGTTTCTATTTCATTTCTGGCTCATGGAGATATGTGAGGGTCCAGCTATATCTTTTTATTTATTTATTTATTTTTGGCTGTGTTAGGTCTTCTAGTTACGTCAAGCGGGGGCTACTCTTCGTTGCGGTGCGCAGGTTTCTCATTCAGTGGCTTCTCTTGTTGCAGAGCACAAGCTCTAGGCACGCGGGCTTCAGTTGTGGCATGCGGGCTCAGTAGTTGTGGCTCGCGGGCTCTAGAGTGCAGGCTCAGTAGTTGTGGCTCCCGGGCTTAGTTGTTCTGCAGCATGTGGGATCTTCCCAGACCAGGGCTCGAACCCTTGTCCCCTGCATTGGCAGGCGGATTCGTAACCACTGTGCCACCAGGGAAGTCCCAGCTATATCTTTTTTTAAAATCATTTTTATAATTTTAAATGTCATGGCTTGCTATGTGTTTGAAATAAAGGGGTTTTGGGGAGGTAAAAACTCACTTCCTTGTGTTGACTTCAATCTCCTCACACCTGCTTTCTGTCCCCCACCCCTCTACTGAAACCACTAAATCAAAGCCACTGATGCTGTTCAAGTTGCCAAATCCAATGCATGTTTCTCTATCCTAATCGTACTTGACTATTTGGCATCTTTTGTCATAACTTCTCCGTTCTTAGAACATCACTCTCTGCCTGGCTACCCAACAGGCTCATGATTCTCATTCTCTTTGTCCTTTGCAGCTCAGTAGATCAGCTATTTTAAGACATTCCTTTGTCTTCTGCCATTTATTTTTGCTCATGATGTTCTGCTAAAGCCTGTTCATCTTTTGTAGGTAGTCTGTCTTTTTCCATAGGTTGCTTTTAAGATTTTCGTTTCTTATATTTGATGGTCTCCAGTTTTACCATGATGTCTAGGTAGGCATTTATTTGTATTTTGCTCAATATTTTGTGACCTGCACCTGATGGATAATGTGAATTCGGGTCCCACATTGGTGCAGAACAGGCTTGGGGTTCTAATTTATCATCGATGATTCCTTTTCCGCCTGTCGCCCAGGCCAATGGCAGACTTTATTGCTCCTTCCCCAGGCTGGTAAGCAGAGTTTTTCTATCCTCCTGTGGGGAGTAGATAGGACTTTTATTCTAATTCCAGGCCTTGCCAGGGCTCAAGACCTCATCTTCTGCTGCCACAGCAACATTAAAATCCCATCCCTAATGCCTAGGACCTATCCCGTCTCAGCTTCGCATCCTGCTTACCATGCTAGCTTTGGGTTCCCTTTTGATTTCTGGCACCTGGGAATTTCCCTTTGTGGTTTTCAGTCTCGGATACATCTTAAGAAAAAATTATCCAGCATTTTCTTTGTGTGAGCAGTGAGTCCTGCTTCAGTTCCATCAGCTTGTCTTGGTTTCAAGACACCGTTTTGGAACTCAGAGCCAAAAATTTGACTCTTTCTCCTCACTGGGTTCTTTTGAGTCTTCTTTCCTGTGTCAGTAAACCTCATCTACAAGATCTAGTACAACTAAGCTGGCAAAAATTGAGTTTCGGTCAATTGAAACCAGTGTTTAATACAGTGGGGTTTGGGAATTTCTGACCTTCAGCATAAAGTTCAAGTTCCCCAAACATTCTGATCCTATATATGTTCCTAACTCTATTTCCTGTTATGCTCTCTTATACACCCAATGCTTTTTTTAATATAAATTTATTTATTTCCTTTATTTATTATTTTTGGCTACGTTGGGTGTTCGTTGCTGCGTGCAGGCTTTCTCTAGTTGCGGCGAGCGGGGGCTACTCTTCCTTGCGGTGCGCAGGCTTCTCATTGCAGTGGCTTCTCTTGTTGTGGAGCATGGGCTTTAGGCACGTGAGCTTCAGTAGTTGTGGCACGCAGGCTCAGTAGTTGTGGCTCGCGGGCTCTAGAGCGCAGGCTCTGTAGTTGTGGCGCACGGGCTTAGTTGCTCCGTGCCATGTGGGATCTTCCTGGACCAGGGCTTGAACCTGTGTCCCCTGCATTGGCAGGCGGATTCTTAACCACTGCGACACCAGGGAAGCCCACACCCAATGCGTTTGACACACCCAAGTACCTGTTATTCTCCATATGCCCCTGAGATTTCTCACATCCATGACCTTGCATATTACCCTTTACCCAGAATACTTTTGCCATCACTTCAGGCCAAATCCAACCTGTCTTTCAAAGTCCAGTTCAACTGGTGCTCCTGCAAAGGCTGGCTAATCTTATCTGCGTTTCCTCTGGATTTCTGTCACTGAGGGAGGCAGCTATGGTATAAATGACTGAATCTGTGAATTGATATCAGGACCTGGTTCTGCTACTCCTTAGCTATCTCTTATTACCTCTCTGAGCCTCAATTTTTCTTATATAAAATAGAGATAGAAATGTCTACCACATGGAGTTAAAATTTCTTGTGGCTCTTTTGATTTTGAGTGACAACAAAACCCAACCCAAACTGGCTTCTGATGAAACAGCATTTATTGATTTATATAGGTGAAAAGTCTAGGGGCAGAGATGGCTTCAGGCATGGGTGAAGTCAAATCTCAAATGATATAATCAAGCCTCTGTATCTTTCCTTCTTTCAGTTCTGCCTTTCGCTCTGTCACCTTCAGGCTCAGGTTCAAAGAGTGGCAAGCATTTCCAGAACCCACAGTCTTCATGCTTCAAGTCCAGCAGACAAACTTGAGAATCTCTTTCTCAGAAGTCCCAACTGGGGAATTCCCTGGCTGCCCAGTGGTTAGGACTCCGCGCTTTCACTTTCACTGCTGAGGGCCCGAGTTGGATCCCTGGTCAAGGGAATTAAGATCCTGCAATTTGTGCAGTGTGGCTCAAAAAAAAAAAAGAAGTACCAACTGTATTTTCATTGCTCTCGGTGGGTCATGTTCTCATCCCTGAGGTGGTCACTATGGCCAGGAGAACTTGACGCTTGTGTTGGCTGCGGCCCAGGAGACTTGTTCTGCCTCAGACCCTCGGTGCAGCCCTGGCAGCAGCACACAGGATCAGAGTGGGTGGGTGGAGATTCTTCACTGAGAAGTTAGGGTACACTTACCAGAGGGGGAAAGGATGCTGAATGAGAATAACGGCAGATGTCCATCACAAGTATGTCGAGGATCAAATGAGATAATATAAGGAAACTGACCTCAGAAAGTCCCATTCAAATATAAATGATGATTATTCTTTGGTTATCTCTCTCTTGTGGCATGAAGCACTGTCTTCCTTTGATTACAGCATCAAGGACGCATCAAGTTCATGCTGTATCTCCCCTACTGCACCCTGAGCATTTAGGGAGCAGGATTTGTGTCCTAGTCATCTCTGGGCCATTTCACCACTTCTAACTCAGCACCCGGAAAATAGGAAGTACTCAAAAATTGATTACGGAGTAACTGAATGAGCCTAAAATCCAAAGCGTTCCCCAGAATTGTGCTAATCCCTAGGCCAAACTCTTGAAGGCCTGGGAGAACTTTACACTTTCACTGCAGTCATAGGTAAGTCAGCTCTAGCTTTTTTCATAGTGGGTTGGGGTTAGGGTGAGAAATAATTTCAGGAAGGTGTGTCCTTGCATTGATTTGTTGACATGGCCAACCAAAGGCTATTCAGAGAAAAGAAAAGTCCTTCTGGTTTATTTGTTGACTTATTTGATTTCTGGTTTATTTTTCTGTTCCTGCCCTCACTGTTAGCAGGGTGAGCTTCAGGAAAGTACAGACTGAATGAAAGAATTTCCCAAAGGCACAGACCAGCAGGACAGGTTTGGGGTTCCCTCCTGCTTCTTGAGGCCTGAGCGTCCAGGAAGTTTTGAGTTTAATTAAGGGAACTGGATATCAGTTCTAGTTGAGCAGTTGGAAGACCAGCCCAGTGAATCTGTTCTGTGTCTCTGCAGTTGTATTCATTTCCTTAGATTTCCTGTCTGAACACAGAGACTGGAGCTACTGGGGCCATACTGGAGTTTAGGAAATGAACTCTTAAGAGAGAGGATGAAGGACCCAAATCACCTCTTGAAATAGTCTACAGCCGACTGCTGCTCCAAAGTTGGCCTGGACCTGCTTTTTTGGCTGATTTTGCAATAAAAACACTAACTCTTCAGCCACAAGTGTTAAGTAGGAAAGGCGATATGGTTTAACATATAAATATATGGAGGCTGTAGGGACCCACTAATTTTCAACCTGCCCTCTCTTTTGTGGTAGCAATAATCCTAATCCAGAAACCTGGGCCCTAACAGGGCAGAAACAACGGGGACAGTTTTTTTTTTTTTTTGCGGTACGCGGGCCTCTCATTGTTGTGGCCTCTCCCGTTGCCGAGCACAGGGTCCGGACGCGCAGGCTCAGCGGCCATGGCTCACTGGGCCCAGCCGCTCCGCGGCATGTGGGATCCTCCTGGACCGCGACACGAACCCGTGTCCCCTGCATCGGCAGGCAGACTCTCAACCACTGCGCCACCAGGGAAGCCCGGGACAGTTTTTTAGAGAAGGAAAATTACATGATTATAGGTATTGTGAACGTGGACATAAGCACTTGACTAAGCTGCAGAGTCATTGTTGGAAACTGTTTTAGCTCCTGTATATCAAAGAAAATTGCTGATGGGCGGGGGAGTGGGAATGAGAATTGTCCAAGGGCACTGTTAGCAGGTCAGGAGTCGCCAAAGGAAAATCTGATCTGGGCGGGTCAGCAGCACCCAGCCTGCTGCTTGGTGGGCTTGAGAACACAGGCTGGGTGTTGCTTCAAAGGAACTCCCTATTCTCTATCTTCATTTCCTGGACTGTCCAAGTCAGCGCAGATTCATTTCTGGAAGGATATCCCTTGACCTTACCTCCCCTCCGTGTCTCTGTCACTTCCCCAGTTGGCATTTTATCTCTCTTCCAGACACTGGCTTCCTCTTCGGGCCTCAGCAGTGTTCTCAGAACTTTTTTGCGTAACACTCTCCTTGCCTGAACCTGCTGTTTGGTCTCTCTTCCCCACAGGTAGTCACAGGTGTTCTGCCCAGGCACCTGCAGCAGCACAGCCTTAGAGAAAGGGCCTGGACTTGGAAGCTACACAGAGGTGAGTTCTAATCCTAGTTCTGCCATTTATTAACAGGATGAACTTGAGCAAGTTATTTCATTTCTCTGAGGTTTCAGTGTCCTTATCTGTAAAATGGGGATAATCTTTCTTACTGGGTTTCTATGAGGATTTGATAAGATAAAGGACCTAGGACAGTGAGCAGGTTGACCCTTTGTAAATGGCAGCTCTTGTTAAGGGTGAAGAGCAGGCTGGCGAGGACACATTGTACAAATGCCCCCTTCCCACCTCACCAGTGATAGCATCTGACCAACAGAATCAGGCGTTTACCCTAGCGGAAAACTCCTGCATAGATGGAGCCTCCACTTCCTCATTTGTAATGTGCTGTAATATTTCACAGTCGGTTAGTCAGGAAATTGTTCTTAATATCTAGCCTAAGTTCCTCCTGCTGCCATGTGTCATATCACAATTTTTAAAAAATGACACACAAACAGACCCATGAAAATGAGCAGATCTTTCTGTGAGTCAGAGGCATTCACAGGCCTTGGGTTTACTCTTACCTTCGAGAAACCAGGGAATATTTGTTGTGTGACCGCTGCAGACCAGAAACTTGTGCTGGGCTTTGCTGGGCAGCCCCAGAGAGGTGTGACAAGACTCTCTTGGGACTCATGTCTCGTTTGGACCAGTGGTCTCAGTCTCTCTCCCTGTCTTTTAATTTTTTGGTTACAGATGAATGACTAATCCTAATTTATAAAGCCTGGGAAGACAGCAAAGCAATTTAGTAGGACTGATCATGCCGGTAGCTAATCACAAATAGCAACGTGGCTCTGACAAGGATTGAAATAAAAATTGTCTTTGTCTTTGAGATTTAAGCAGAAGACACCAACCAGCCCCATGCAGCAGATTATTTTGTTTAACTATGCGTGTGCATTTTGCAGCTAATCCTTCTTACTGGGCTATTACTATGAATCACGTCTTTTCAGCTATGTAGCCCCAGATCTCAGTGTCTGAGAAGCTCCTGTGGGAAGAAAATGTTTGCAGACTTCCACATATGTCTACCCTATGGATGTACTCTAAAGTTGTGGGCTGAGCTGCAAACTGGCCACCTGTGGACCACAGACAGCCCGTAGATGTGTGCTGTTTGGCCCCGCAGTGTTTTGTTTTTGTTCTTTTAGTTGAATTGGTTGCCCTAATCTAAAACTCCACAAGATTCACATGATCCAGTTTTTTGGCTTCTCTTGAAAAAGGGAAGATCTGGCAACACTGAAGCTGCATTTCCTCACAGTAGCATCACCTGGGCCTGAGCGGAGATGCTCCCTGTAGACAGAGGCACCGTTTCCTACTGCTTCATTCCCACTCATTTTCCTTCATGTATAGATCCTGCCTGGGCCTTGAAGGCATTTAAACTGGGGGCTCCTGGCCTGTGAAGTCCCCTTTGGTCACTGATAGCACAGCTGCTAGTGATCTGTTCCTTTGGACACTCTAACCTCTCTTCCTACACCAGAAACCAGTGTTTGTAATTTCTACAGATATCAGCAGAAATCAGTTGTGATCCCAGCATAAGTCAGTGTTTGTGATTCTTGCAGCTATGTCTTCCCTGAGTTTATAATAAATGCCACAGTTGAAGACACGTGTCATGTTACCAGTAGGTTCTCATGTGAGGATCAATGGCATGAACCCCTATTTGAAATTTGCCTCACCACACTGTTTCTAGGTTGTTCAAAGTCCAGGGGGCTTCTGTCTGGGCAGAGGAACATTCTCTACAACTTCCGGTATAACTGATGCTCAATTTATCCAATTTATATGCCTAATAAACAAACAAAACTAATAAATTTTGGGGGGGAGGGTTTCATTTTACTTTATTTTTTCTTTAACATCTTTATTGGAGTGTAATTGCTTTACAATGGTGTGTTAGTTTCTGCTGTATAACAAAGTGAATCAGTTATACATATACATGTATCCCCATATCTCCTCCCTCTTGCGTCTCCCTCCCACCCTCCCTATCCCACCCCTCTAGGTGATCAAAAAGCATCGAGCTGATCTCCCTGTGCTATGCAGCTGCTTCCCACTAGCTATCTATTTTACATTTCGTAGTGCATATATGTCCATGCCACGCTCTCACTTTGTCCCAGCTTAGCCTTCCCCCTCCCCGTGTCCTCAAGTCCATTCTCTACGTCTGCATCTTTATTCCTGTCCTGCTCCTAGGTTCTTCAGAACTATTTTTTTTTTTTTAGATTCCATATTCATGTGTTAGACTAAGGTATTTGTTTTTCTCTTTCTGACTTGCTTCACTCTGTATGACAGACTCTAGGTCCATCCACCTCACTACAAATAACTCAATTTTGTTTTTTTTTATGGCTGAGTAATATTCCATTGTATATATGTGCCACATCTTCTTTATCCATTCATCTGTCGATGGACACTTAGGTTGCTTCCATGTCCTGGCTACTGTAAATAGAGCTTCAGTGAACATTGTGGTACATGACTATTTTTGAATTATGGTTTTCTCAGGGTATATCCCCAGTACTGGGATTGCTGGGTTATATGGTAATTCTATTTTTAGTTTTTTAAGGAACCTCCATACTGTTCTCCATAGTGGCTGTATCAATTTACATTCCCACCAACAGTGCAAGAGGGTTCCTTTTTCTCCACACTCTCTCCAGCATTTATTGTTTGTAGATTTTTTGACGATGGCCATTCTGACTGGTGTGAGGTGACACCTCATTGTAGTTTTTATTTGCATTTCTCTAATGATTTGTAATGTTGAGCATCCTTTCATGTGTTTGTTGGCGATCTGTATATCTTCTTTGGAGAAATGTCTATTTAGGCCTTCTGTCCATTTTTGGATTGGGTTGTTTGTTTTTTTGATATTGAGCTGCATGTGTTGCTTGTAAATTTTGGAGATTAATCCTTTGTCTGTTGCTTCATTTGAAAATATTTTCTCCTATTCTGAGGGTTGTCTTTTCGTCTTGTTTATGGTTTCCTTTGCTGTGCAAAAGATTTTAAGTTTCATTAAGTCTCATTTGTTTATTTTTAAAACTAATACATTTTTAAAAGTTTCTTAAACTACAGTTTTACATTTAAATCCCGTTATAAAATGTTTCTTTTGGGTGAAAATAAAAGAAAGCCCTGACTCAAAATGGCTTAAACAATAAGGAAGTGTATTATCTCACATGACATGAAGATCTGAGGTGGGATGGGCTGTGGGCATGGTGTGCCCAGGCTGCAGCTCCACTTTATTATGATTCTCTTGGTTCTGCCCTTCTCTGTGTCCTGGTAGAAGCCTCAGGCTTGTAGCAGTGTGGCTGTAGCAATGACATTATCATATCCAGACACAACAATTCAGAGAAAGTGGGACTTTTATTTCCCTTTTTTGGGACTGTGGAAACCTCTCTCAGAAGCCCCACATGGACTTTAACTCCCATCTCATTGGCCAGAGTTGTATCACATGCCTGTTCCTAAACCAGTCACTGGCAAGGAGAATGGGACTGCCCATTGGCTTTTATTAATTATCTCAGAGTGGAATGAGCGCTGAGAAGTCCATGATAATGATCACCTCATCATTTACTCAAATTCCCTTAAACAATCCAAGTTATAATCACAAATCCAATAAGACTGATTTCTCAAACACTGAAACATCCCAACACACCAAATAGCAGACAGAATCATGAAAATAAAATTATCACAAAGGCTATAACCACATTTAAGTCTAACTTCAAAATATTAAAACCATGGATTTAATTTCTTTTTCATTACTTCTATACTTATTTGTAGAAGTAATATTTATTTTGATACTTTTCTGTGTTACAGTGATTTTACTAGACCCCAAATTAAAATAATACCATTTCATACTGGCCACGGTTGTAGGTTATTTATGTAGGTTGGGGTTATTTATAATTGATTCTTGGCTGGAGCAGGGGATTTGGTGGCACCTTCTAAACTTGGGCTGGCATGCATCAGGCTGCCCTCCCCCCTTTTATAACAGCTTTATTGTGATAAAATTTACATACCATACCGTTCATCATTTAAAGTATACAGTTCAATAGCTTTTAGTATACTCAGAGTTATGCCACCATCACCCAATCAATTTTAGAGCATTTTCATCATTCCAATGGGAAACCCATTAGGAGTCACTCCCCGTTTCCCCACTCCTCTAAGCCCCAGGCAACCATCAGTCTATTTTCTGTCTATATGGATTTGCCTATTCTGGACATTTCATACAAATGGAATCATACACCCTGTGGAGGCTGGGTCCCTTTTAATCATTACACTTTACTTGCTCCATCAGTGACATTTGTCATGCCTATACCTTTCATGGGGGATTTCCTGAAATTATGTATTTTATAGTTTTGCTTAGTTAGTACAGGCATACCTCATTTTATTGTGCTTTGCTTATTGCACTTCACAGATACTGTGCTTTTTATAAATTGAAGGTTTGTGGCGACCTTATGTTGAACAAGTCTATCGGCACCATTTTCCCCACAGCATTTGCTCACTTCACATCTCTGTGTCACATTTCAATAATTCTCCCAATATTTCAAACTTTTTCATTCTTATTATATTTTTTATGGTAAGCTGTGGACAGTGATCTTTGATATTACTATTGCATAAAAATTATGACTCACTGAAGGTTCAGGTGATGGTTAGCATTTTTTAGCAATAAAATATTTTGTAATGAAGGTAGGTACATTGGTTTTATAGACAATGCTATTATTGCACACTTAATAGACTACAATATAGTGTGAACATAACTTTTCTATGCACTGGGAAGCCAAAAAATTCATGTGACTCGCTTTATTGCAATATATGCTTCATTGTGGCTGGAACTGAACCCGCAGTATCTCTGAAGTATGCTTGTATTATATAATTGGTTGTACTGCCTTTGTTATGTATTTACACTGTTGTTTGGAATGATTGGAAATATAAACGTGCCTTATATATTAAGCATTCACTCCCTTCTTTTCTTCCTCCGTGCCTTCCTTCCTTTCGAAAATAAGTGTTGAGCATCTTCTCTGTATCAGGTATTGTGCCAGGCACTGGGA